ATTTCTTAAAAGCTATAGAGAAATAAAATCTCATTTACAATAGAAACACAAAAGATGAAATAAACCCAAAAAGAGATATGCAAGAATTATATGAAGACCAATTTTGAATATTACTGATGGATATGAAGATGAGAATAAATAGAAAAGCCTACCATACTCCCAGAGAGGATGACAACATCATAAAGATAGCAATTCCCTAAATTAATCTTTATTAGTTCATAGTTGGTATCTATATAAATATCTATATCTATAGATATTTATAAAAATCTATATCTACAAGTATATAAGCTCTTAATATATAAAAAGGGCCTATATATCAAAACAAGAAAAACCCAAGGAGCCCAGTGAAAAATGGGCAAAGATTACGGAATGACATTCTGTTTTTCAATCGATATGTATTGAGTGCTCACATACACCAGGTCCTGTTCGAGATGTCAGGAACACAGCAGTGGATGAAAGAGTGCCAGTCCACAGAGACCCCACATTTGAGGAGGGAGAGAGACAATAACCAAACAACATTCAGGGAATGGTAGTGCTATGAAGAAAAATTCAGTAGGATGAAGGGATAGAGAGTGTTTGGGGAGTGAGGAGGGAGCAGTGCTATTCATGTATGTAGGACGATTAAAGAAAGTTTCTCTGAGGAGGTGGCTTACGAGAGACCCTAATAAAGTTCAGAGTACCCAATACAAGGAAACAGCAAGTTCCAAGGCCCCAAGGCTGGAACATGCTTGGCATATTTAAGTAGAGCACAGAAGTTTGTGCGGCTGAAGTAGTGAATGAGAGTTAGAGGGGTAGGGGATGAAGTAACAGATGTAGCTAGGCGCCAGACCCAGGCAGGTCCTCCTTGTAAGCTTTGGAAAGGGTTTGGGATTTTAAGTATGATGTGAATCCATTGGGAGGTTTTGAGTAAGGGAGTAACACAGATTTATGTTTTAAAAAAATAATGTGGGAAGGATGGAATGAAGAAGGGCAAGAGTAGAGGCAAGTTTTGCCCATATGAGAGGTAAAAAATGGTACCTACTTCACAAAAACAGACACACAGATCAATGGAATAGAATCGAAAGCCCAGAAATAAACCCACACATTTATGGACAGCTAATCTTTGACAAAGGAGCCAAGAACATACAATGGGGAAAAGGAAGTCTCTTCAGCACATGGTGTTGGGAAAACTGGACAGCCACATGCAAAAGAATGAAAGTAGGCCCTTACCTTACACCATACACAAAAATTAACTCCAAATGGATTAAAGACTTGAATGTAAGACCTGAAACTGTGAAAGTTCTAGAAGAAAACATAGGCAGT